AACCATAAGTTCGAAACCCTAGCCTCTTTGTGTGAATTTCAAGCCTTTGTGTGATTTTTGGTGTGTGTTGGAGAAGAAGGAGATCTTGTTAGAAGCATTTTTTGGCTTAGAGCTTATGGATCCAAGATCTAATCATCTTCATCAACTTCCAGGAGGCATAAAGTTTTTAACTTGATGACTTTATGTGTTAGACCTAGTCTAGGGTTTGTTTTGGGTTTATTACGGTCCCTTGAGTCATCCTTGTGAGTATCAGTTACTCCAAGAGCTTAGAATATTAGATCTTAGCATTTCTGAGCTTGTCGGTGCATAAAAATGTCATCTTCATGGGTTTTGATGAATCAGGCTTAAGTTGGTGTTCATATTATGGGTTTAGATGGATAAAAACAGGTTTTGGGTCCCACTAAGGCATGAAAATGAGGAAAGTTGGCGACTTTATGGTTTAAGACCTTATTTATAGGTTAGATCTGAGTTCGGATGTTTTGGTCTTAAGCATTAAGTGCTTCATGAAAGTTTTGCTCACCTGGTGGGAACGTTAAGAGTACGTATGTGTGCACTCAGCTTAATGCATGAAGTCCCCATACTGGAGCTTTAGCGAGTTTTATCTTGTGCTTCAATGGGTCGTACGTGGGGCGTACGTCAGAGATCTTCTTTTGGGCCTTGGGTCTTTTTGTAGTTTGGGTCATGGGTTATTGGATCAGATATGGGAAAAGTAAAATGGTCTTTTACCCATTGGAAGGATATGACATGGTTTGGGACCTTGGATTTTGGGAAATTGTATTAAATTATTGATTAGGGATATTTTGGTTGTGTTTAGTGTGAGGATTCCGATAGCAGCAATCCATGTTTTTCGATTATTTCGGATTAAGGTGAGTCTCCTCACTGTACTCGTGGATCGAAGTCACCAATGTCGTCCTGATAGGATATGTTATGCTAGTTGTCTTTTTGACTCTTGCATAGTATGTTGGGCTAGACCGATTATATGATGGGCTAGGCCCATTTATATGATGGGTTGGACCCATGGATTAGGAAGGTCTAGGCCCATTGTATGTTCTGTAGGATGCTAGTTGTCTATGTGACTGTTGCATGTGTATGTTGGGCTGGGCCCATTGGCTTGGAATGGTTGGGCCCAATGTGCAGGATAGGCCCAATGATATGTATGATATGTGGTATTTTGGGGAACTCACTAAGTTTTGTCCTTACGTTTTTATGGTTATGGTTTCAGGTATTTTCGGTTCGAAGGGGAAGGGCCTGACTTGATCGCAACGTGTCCACCCATGCTTCCGCAACTATATGATTTTGGGATTGTACTCTGATAACTGTTTTTATTCTGACATACTTTTGAATGATTGGTGATGCATCTGAAATAGCTACACCTAATTTTACCTCCTTATCTACTAGCTATTTGACCCATGGCAATGTACCCCTTCGCAAATAGTATAGCACAAAAGTCGGGTATCGAACGCAGGGAACGATTTTAATTAATTAATCTACTCAATATTAAATTAACCTAAAATTATAGTAAAGTAAATTGTTTTATATCTAATTTTGCAAGTTTAGATAAACTTAAATTATCAACAATTAATTCAATCAATTATGAAAAGCACTCATGTTAGTTCGAATCCACTTTCCCTCATTATTTAGCTATTAATTAAGGATAATTCTCATTAGTTACCAATTAATATTTTATTAGCAATTCAAGTCCAAATTTACTAACGTTGAATTAATTCATGTAGATCTATGCATAGTTACATGGTGGTTATCGAGGCCAACAAAATTAATAACCCTAAATATTACACACTAAAATAGTGTATAGTGGTAAAGGGATCGTATCCACGGAGATTGGTTAAATTTTATAACTCTATGAAAAATCTCTTTGTAAAATTAATTGTAAAATGACAATAAATTAAAAATGGGGTGTTTGGTGTTTTGAAATACTTGAAATAAACTAGAATTAAACTCAGATTTAAATAAAAAATTTCAAAAAAAAAAAAAAAAAAAAAAAGTTTGATGTAAAATCAATAAGAGAAGGATGGTTGACTTAAGGTTTCCTCACTTTGACTTTTGATGAACATATCATTAGAATCCAGTGGTGCAATACTTGATTTAAATCCTTAATTTGGCTATAGCAATCCAAGAAGCTTGAGATTACCTAGACTTTTCTTAGTTGTTAAAATGTTTAGAGAAGCTCATAACAATTTCCTTAGTCAAAGTCACAATTTCCATTAAGCATGTAATTAGTGAAAGTCAATTAGCATTAAGAACCAAAAAGTCACCAAATCTAAGAGGAGTCAATTGCTTTCACTACCATGTTGGAGGAAATGTTATTATGATTTTGTGAAGCAAAAACAACACAAAAATCATTTGTTGGTTGCTAATTTAAGGATCCTTTACTTAATCAATAAATTAGACAACTAATCACCACAAACACATTTAAACTCAAGAATAAAAACATACAAGTAGTGATAAGATGTTCAAACACAAAACATTCCCATGAAGATTTAAGAACAAGTTCATGGATTCTTCAATATTCAACAAAAGTTCAAAGGATTCAACAAAAGTCAACCAAGATTGGTTTAGCCAATCATAGCTAAACTCAAAGAAACAAAGTTAGAGAAGATTGTACCAAACATTTGACAAGAATCAAGAGGTAAAAATCTGATGCTCTTGAGGTGTTCTTGGCCTTCAAAAGTATTCAAAACCCCATGGAGAATGCTAAAAAATCGGATGTCTAAAAGTCTCCAAAAGATAGGCACCAACCTTCCTCAAATAGCCCAAAAGAAGAATTTCCGGAATTGCCCTTGTAGGAGGTTGCACGACCCGCGTGTTGTTGCGCAGGTGGGTTGCGCTGATGGTCCCTGGATGTAGCATCTTTGAGGTTTGGACCTCCATAGCTTAGCCCACTTGGCCCAGTTCGAGTCTAATCAGTTCCTAGCCCATTTTTCTTCAATTTAAACCCGATTTGGCTTCTCTAAATGATCCAAACTCGCCTGGTTAATAATCTACGCACGTTTGAATAAACTCCCGCATCTTACAAATTTAAAGTTTATTTCTCTCAAAGCCTTCAAATAATCATCAAGCTCGCTCCATGCATCATCTCCACCACCCATCAAGCCTAAGATCCTTGTAATACACCAATTCCCATCGCTTTCCATACACCCCGAACATTTCCGCTTCACTAGTCTCCATTAAATTTGCATTAAAGCTCACGAAACTAGAAAGTACCCGAAATAGTCATAAAATAACAAAAAGGAAAATATGCATGGAAATTAACTAGATTATGGATGAAATATGCTAAAATAAACTACAAAAAGAAGTAAATAAAATGAAACTAGCAAATCACCCCAAGCTTAAACCTTACTTGTCCTCAAGTAAGACAAGACTAAAATGAACTCGGGATGAACTATCCTAAGAAAAATAAAAAGAATGGATAGAACCATAGAACCTAATCACCGTTAGTCAACATGGTCATAATTGATCTCGCTGTTATCTCACGATTTTTTCATCCGATGACAATGAGACCCTAAACCACAGCCAGAACAACTCCTCTAGGTGAGTAAGGAGGGATGGTCAGTCGCATCCCCAATGGGACATGCATTCAATGAATAACATATGTAGTAGGGAGAAAGCAATGGATGGGCTCGTATGAAGCTCTTATTTTTAAGTGCACACTCTAATCATGAAAGTTGCGTGATCTCACATTTTTCGGCCACTCTCAAGTGTGATTCAGTTTATCACTCGGGCACTGTTGTAGGAATCAGTTCACTTAGCGTTGACCTGAACCTCTCGTAGTATCCGACTCAACAGCCTCTCTAACATCACCAATTTGCGAAAAGAAACAACTCGATCTATATACAATAATACAATCCTAAATAAATGAATATCGAACACCGAGTGACCAAAATGTTGGGAAATTTGTTCAATAATTGAACCGGTCACCTATCTAAGTTTATTTCAGCTTTTTTTTTTGTTTTTTTTTTGTTAAAAACACTTGTTGACTCGAAATTTGGTTCCCAAAAATATGTAAGTGGAACCGAATGGTAATAATAATCCAAATGGTTTAAGTGTGAAAATGACCATGTGTGGAGCATAAAGATGTAAGCTCCTCTTCAAACTTGTGATTTTTCCAATCATAATTAAAATGTCCAAATGTGAACTAAAAGTCTCTAAAATCCTAAAAAAATCATGAAAAATATATGGTGATGTAAAGAGACCGAATATGGATTCTACTCGGGGAGAAGCACTAGTGCTTCATCCTAACGGTTCAAACATGATCAAGTGTGATCCTCTCGGTGGTATTGACCGCAAGGCTAAAAACATCTATTGCTATAGTATATCCTACAGTTGTTAGTATCGCATGCATAATTCTTCATGAAAGCTACCTGGCCATGATCACTTACCCCTTTAAGCTTCCAACATATGATCCCAAGTATGAAGTCCCAAACTACAGCTAGTTGTCCCGGTATGATGGGTGAGATAACAACAAGATCGTGGACCAATAATGATACAATAACTATGAACCTGTTCCATGACATCCAAGGGGGTGGAAATAAACAGACAACAAAAATGCATGAATGCTAATGCCCTATGCTAAATGTTATGCAAAAAAATATAAAAGTAGAAAAGAAGAAAATAAAATCTTTTTGGAAATTTATAAAATAAAAAAAAGTGAATGAAAATTAGCCTAAAACTAAAATGATATGCAACCCAACTAAAAATGCATGCAAAAATTAAAAGGAAAAGGGAAAATCTCCACCCCAAGCTTAAGAACAAGCATTGTCCTCAATGCTTAAGGTAATGGCAGAAATGACCTAAATCGGGGGATCGGGCGGCGGTAAATGCTCGTGGCGATAGTGGTAGTCCCACATATCCTGGACCTGACGTGAAGTGGATGGGAAGGACTGCTCCAATCGACTAACATGTGTTGCCACATCTTGTATGGCTTGGGTGTTCACTTGTGTTTGAGTGTCAATGCGGTGGACTGTAGAGAACATCGTGGCGAATCAATCAAAAAATGTAGGGGACAAATATGATGGGACTTTGTGTCCCCCATGCTGATGCGACTGGTCAAAATGTTGTGGAGGGGCCTGGAAGTGGTCATGTTGATACATCGGCTGTTGCACCGAAGGCTGGTCAAAATTCTCTTCAGCCTCGGGCATCTCATCGTCCTCTTCATCTTCTTCCTCAAGCTCCTCTGCGTTGTCACCCTCATCATCGTCGAATTCTGGAAAAACACTTGCTTGGGTCAACTGATGCGGAGGAAGCCAAGTGGCGGGGTCGTCTCCGTCGAATGAAGAACCGATCCAACTTGGAAGGATCTAAATCGGGGTTTTGTCAGAGTCAAACCAACTGTACATGCGGGTTCCCCAAGCGAGCAACATCTCCATACGAATGAGAGCGTCACAGTCTAGCAGGAAGTTTGGTGGGTTGTCGGCAGGTATGTACTTAGGAGCAGGGAAGTCCAGGCCAACGGCTGGACCTATGATCGTGATAAGTCCCCTGAAGAAGATTTCCTCTGTAGTGCGCTGACGTATGGAGTCACATTTGTCTAGAAAGAAGGCTGAAAAACTGAGGGAGAGTCTACACCTCAGGCTTCTGAGGAAAAATAGCTTACATCTGTTGATTTGACCGGGCTCAAGGCGCCTGAAGATGCTTGTCGTGAGAACTTGGTGAGCAATTCGCCAAATAGGTGAACGATGTGCTTGGTTCGCTGTCGACTTGGGTTGAAGGTAGTGAGACCGGAAATCTGCATCCAAAAGTGTGCATCAACGTTACGCATAAAATCTTGGTACTCTTGATGTTAGGGACTGGTGTAGTCTGGATCGTCAACACCCATGATGGAATCAAGCTCTGCATATGTAAGCCTATGGTACTCCCCTTTCAACTGGAATGTGAGGACTTTCGCAACATCATCTCGTGCATATGTGCTAAGAAATTCCATTGTGGGTTCCTCGTAAGTTCTATCATAGAGTCTAAGAAAACCACACCAACCCATTCTTTGGAACAAATCTGATACGCCATCGTGCACCCTATGCTTTTTCATGGACTTTCTATGGTAGAATTTTGTCGTCCGGATTGTGCTACCCCAAAGGTTGGAGCGATAGGTTTTGATTTCAGCATTGTAAGGGAATGATCGCTTCCCTCTACTGCTCCTTTTTTTTCGTTTACCGGCTGCTTTGCATGATGGACTGACGACATCCTTTTACGGGTTAGGATCAGCGGATGATCCATGGGTGCGTTCCTGAGCTATGGTTTTGCCCATTTTCAAGACCTACAATATCAAAAACAATTTCACCAAAGTCATCCCTCACCTTACCACTCTCAAAGCAATGCAACTATCTTTAAACCGAACACAAAAATTCCAATAAATAATGGCACCCAACTTTTGACAATTCAAAATGGTTGTCAAACAACACCACTCGGTTCCATTTGAAACTTCTAACAAAAATTTGGTACCATTTCTAGATAAAATGAGCAAATCCCAACCAAAGTTTAAGCAAATTTTGAGCAAATTCCCAAGTAAATTAACAAATTTAAACTACTCTCAAACCATTTTTTCCAAATAAATCGGATAATAACTAACGATCCTAGGCAATTTTCAAAGCATAATTGGATGCAATTATCGTATTAGAACAATGCAATGTAATAAAAATTAAGGAAATAAAATGCTCGATTCAATCGTTTTTGTCCCAAAAAATTGAACTTGAACCCATAATTCGCTACCGTGCACCCCAAGCTTAGTGGTTGTTCGTGGATGCGAAAATGCAAGACTTGTTCACCAAAACAATATTTTCAACTTGATTTTTGCAAAAAATCCGACAGCAACTCGTGGTGGTTCAAAAATTCCGGCAAATTTTTTGGTGAAGATTTTGAGGTTTTGTTTGGTTGGATGTAAAGACCTTGGAAAAAGAAACACTTTGGTGGTGTCGGAATCGTGAGAGGTGGCCGAAGTTGGCCGAAAAATGGTCGGAAAGTGGCGAGGTGGGTGGTGGTGGTGCCCCTAATTCTGGCGGTGGATCGGAGGAATTTTTGGGTGGGATTTGTAGAGAATGGAAAATGGTGAAGAATGGCGGTGGTCTCGCCAGATTCCGATCGGTAGAACTCCGGGAAATCAAATTTTAGTGGGAGGTGGGTGTTTGTGTTCTTGAGAGTTTGAGAGAAAACTGGTGGGATTTGTTAGTGTTGAATGAAGATGATGAAGTGCTGGAAGTTTTAATCCATGGTCAAGTTCTGGTAAATGAAAGTCAATGTTAGTCAACTCATTAATCCACCTGGTCAACGGAAGTCAAAGTCTGGTCAACAAAACAAGAATTGGTCGTCAGGTAGCATGCGGGTCACGCAGATCATGCAGTTACGAGGTTGGTTTTTGTTGCATGGCAGAGTCTAGCCGCGCACATTAGCTGCGCAGCCATGCGCGGGTCGCGCATCCTACTGCTCCTGGTTCTCGATTTTTCTCCGTTTTCTTCCATTTTTTCACTAGTTCTTGATTCGGAAGGCCCCAAACACCTGGAAATTCTTGAATGCTTCAAAAATAACTCCAGAAGACACATCAAAACATTTTCAAAACTTCTTTATTCGAACATAAAAACATGAAATCATAAAGCTTTCCAAAAATGCCCCTATTTAACGTCTTTGGTGAGACATACTTCTAGCTTGATTCAACACACCGGGACATCCAAATGGAAGATTTCAAGAGCATTTGAATTAAAAACTTCATAGAATAGCTTCAATCGGTGCCCATTGACTTTGAAAATTTGTCACGTTTCTTCACTTTGGATTTCTACCGCCCCATGGTCAAAGGTCTTTATTACAATAAATGGGCCAATCCACCTTGATCTTAATTTGCCCGGGAATAACTTCAATCATGAATGGTAAAGAAAGACCCTATTCCCCAGTTCAAAATTCTTCTGGGTGGTGGACTTGTCGTGGAAGAGCTTCGTTTTTTCCTTGTAAATTCTCGAGTTTTCATAAGACTCATTTCTCAATTCTTCTAACTCTTGAAGTTGAAGATTTGTATGTCTTCCCGCCTCATCAATATTGAAATTACATTGCTTGACCGCCCAAAATGCACAGTGCTCTAGTTCGACGGGAAGATGACATGACTTTCCAAAAACCAATCTGAATGGAGACATGCCTATCGGGGTTTTGTAAGCAGTAAGGTAGGCCCATAAGGCATCATCAAGCTTAAAACTCCAATCCTTTCTTGTCAGATTCACTGTTTTCTCATGAATACTCTTCACTTCAGGATTCGAAACCTCCGCTTGACCGTTTGTTTGAGGGTGGTAGGCGGTGGAGACACGATGAGTCACATTGTACTTTCTCAACAAAGCTTCCATCATCTTGTTGCATAAATGCGTCCCTCAATCACTGATCAATACCCTAGGCACACCAAATCTCACAAAGACATTAGATTTTACAAAGTCGATAACTGTTTTGGCATTGTCCGATCTTGTGATTTTGGCCTCAACCCACTTAAAAACATAGTCAATCGTGAGTAAGATGTAAATGTTACCAAATGAAACGGGAAATGAGCCCATGACATCAATCCCCCATACATCAAAATTTTCACAAACAAGGATTGGATTTTATGGTATGTGATTTTTTTTGCGAAATGTTTCTCGTCCTTTGGCACCGTTCATAAATTTTACAAAACATATACAATCATGTGACATGGTTGGCCAAAATAGTCCACATTCAAGACCTTTCTCAAGGTCCGGCTAAGTCCAAAGTGTCCCCCACAAGCAAATTCATGAAAAACTTGCAAAATGGGTTGATGCTCTTGTTGGGGCACACATTGCCTAATAATTTGATCGGGACAATGTTTCCACAAATAAGGTTCATCCCACAGATAGTATTTTGCATCACTTTTCAATTTATCTTTTTGAGCACATGTGAATGTGTTAGGATACCTTTTCATGACCAAAAAGTTAACGATATCGGCATACCAAGGGGTAGATTGAGTAATGGAAAAGAGATGCTCATCTGAAAACTCGTCCCGCAATAGGAGAGGAGTTTCATTTGAAGTGATCCGACTTAGATGATCGGCAACAAGGTTCTCGCATCCGCAGTTGTCCCGGATTTCCAAATCAAATTCTTGCAATAAGAAGATCCACCAGATGAGTGTTGGCATTGCATCTTTCTTTGTCATCAAGTACTTGAGGGCCACATGATCCGACTACACAATAACTTTGGTACCAAGTAGGTATTGTCATAACTTCTCCAAAGCGAACACTATGGCCAATAGCTCATTCTCTGTGGTAGAGTAGTTGCTTTGAGCATTGTCTAGTTGATCAGTAGTTTTTACGAAATGCAGTTCAATATTTCCATCCTCCACATGATCTTTTATGAAATGATAACGCAGAGCAATGTGCTTGGTCTTCGAATGTTGCACCGGATTATGAAAAATACGTATTGCACTTTGAGAATCACAATATAATGGAATTTTCTTCATATTAATTGCATATTCACACAATTGACTTTGAATCCAAATTATTTGTGATGTGCAAGCTGCAACAACAACATATTTTGCTTTTGCTGTGGAAATCGAAACACGAGTTTGCTTTTCTGATTTCCAGCTCACTAATTTTCCATCTAATAATTGACATCCTCCACTCGTGCTTTTTCGATCAAGATTGCAACCTCCCAAATCAGCATTTGAGAAAGCTTGTATAAAGAAACCAGTTTTCGAAGGATACCACAATCCTACCGAAATCGAGCCTTTGAGATAATGAAAAATATTCTTAACTACAGTGAGATGTGGTTCTCTTGGATTTTCCTAATACCAAGCACAATTACAAACAGAGAAGATAATATCAGGTCGACTTGTCGTGAGGTAAAGTAACGAACCTATCATGCTTCTGTAAAGAGTTAAACCAACGGCAGGTTTATCTAACGAAGGTGTAAGCCTTGTTCCTGTTGCCATTGGTACTCGTAATTTTGTGCTATTCGTTAATCCAAAATTTTCAAGCAGATTCTTCGTATATTTTTCTTGATTGATAAAAATTCCTTCTGTGTTTTGACAAATATTCAGACCAAGAAAATTATTGATTTTTCCCATCATACTCATCTCAAATTTGCTTTTCATCAGATTTTCGAATTCATTAGACAAAGAAGGGTCAGTAGAGCCAAAAATAATATCATCGACATAAATTTGAACAAGCATAAGATGATTCCTAACTTTCTTTGGAAATGTGGGGTTAAATGATCCTTGTTTAAATTTTGATTGTTTTAAGAAAGAGGTAAGTGTTGCATACCAGACTCTTCGTGCTTGTTTTAACCCATAAACTGCCTTATCTAAAATATAAACGTGATTAGGATATTCTTCATTTATAAAACCTGGAGGTTGTTCAGCATACACCGTTTCTTCGAGTTCTCAATTCAAAAATGCACACTTCACGTCCATTTGATAAACATCAAAATCTTTGTGAGCTGCATAAGCTAAAATATTCGAACAACCTTGAGTCTTGTGACAGGGGAAAAGGTTTCCTCTTAGTCGATACCTTCTTGTTGTGAATAACCTTTTAACAACTAATCGTCCCTTATTTCGTACAATATTTCCATCCTTGTCGGTTTTATTTTTGAAAATCCATTTTAACTCGACAATTGAAACATCTTCAGATCTAGGAATTAATCTCCAAACCTTGTTTCGTTCAAACTCAACCAATTTAGATTGCAATGCAACAACCCAAGCAGAGAGTTCCATTCCATCCTTAACTGTCTTTGGTTCGATTTTGGAAATGAAAACATTGAACATACAATATTCTTAATGAGTATTCAGTACCTCAATCTTTGCACTAAGTTGAGCTCTTGTTAAGACTCCATCTTGTGGATTCCCAATAACTTGTTCCTACGGATGATCTCTTGTCTATTTTTCGAGTGGTGGATATTTTGGATCAAAATCCAAATGTGCATCTTCGTATAATTCTTCATTTTTCAGATCCTGCAACAGAAAAATTATCATTAATTTCCTGAAATTCCTCATTTTGATCAAGACTT